GAACCAAAGAGCCAGATGAGTGACATCCCAAACTCACAGCAACACTGCAACGTGGTGTGGTAGCCAAGACAAGGCTCTAGCACCTGGACATTACTGAGCAGCCAGTTACACAGGACATGTCACTTCTGTTGGAGAAGGGGTCATGGAGGTGCGAGAGGGGGTGTTTTCCCTGTGCCCAAGGAGCATGGTGTCACAACCCGAAGTGAAGCCAGTCAGGAGCGAGAAGGAGGGGATGAGCTGAGCAGGGGTCCTAGAGGCAAAAGGCAGACTATGGCCCCAAATCTCTACCTTCAAAATATGGGAAATTTATTTCTCCGTGGAGGATGTGGAGTAGTACTTAAAAACTGGCTGCATGGGATTGGTTGTACCATCTGTGAATTAGAGTTTCGCCGTTATATTTTAAACACGTGGTATGAAAAAGTCCGAGTTCGAGATATTTTTGTATTAGCAAAAGAAATGGACTATATTTGTCAGTGAAAACAGGGAAATGTCATTAGACTCTTTACTTTTGTTAGAAATTTTATAAGGAGCATAAGAATAATTTCTTACCAATGGTAACTAATAAGAACCTGAAGATCAGGGCCCCTGGGTGGCTCAGTTGGTTAAGCAACTGCCTTCGGCTCAGGTTATGATCCTGGAGACCCAGGATCGAGTCCCGCATCGGGCTCCTTGCTCAGCAGGGAGTCTGCTTCTCCCTATGACCCTCTTCCCTCTCGTGCTTTCTATCTCTCATTCTCTCTCTCTCTCAAATAAATAAATAAAATCTTAAAAAAAAAAAGAACCTGAAGATCATTCCAATCAAGTGGTCAACCACCCAATTCAGTGGTTATTCTTAGTTAGCTTCACTCATGGTGGGGATAACCAGGTATGTTTATGTGATGGAATATAAAGTCGAAATATCACCTGTGACATAATCTAGCCAAAAATATATTTAATTTGAATCTATTAAGACTTAAGATATAAATTCCAGTTTTTAGGAAATGCAGGAGATAGAGGAATAAGACAAATGACACCACAGGAAGTAACCAAATTAGGGATTATGTTTTCCATTTATTAGGTTTAAGTGTTTTTCATTAACATTTTTTAATGTTCTCTGTTAAGGCCCTGTACCTCTTTTGTAAGATTTATTCTAAAAACTTTCTATTCTTTATTAACATTATAAAACATACCTTGCTTAAAATTAAATTTTCTCTTCCTTGTTACAGTAAGAAATAAAATTAAGATTCAGATTCCTGGAGGAAAAAAAAAAGAATCCATTTATTGGTTGGATTCCAGCTATATCTTCTCTTAATCTAATGAGTCATCCTGTAACTTGTTTTACTGATGCTTAATACTCAAATTTATTTTTTCCTGAGACCTGAAGGCCTACCTTAGGAACTCTATTGCAATTCCAAGTTTACACGTATGTATACATTATGTTTGATGTGCTGAGTTTAGTTTCCCTTCCCTGATGTTTTTATTGTTGTTCGCCCCTCCCTCTTCTCTCTCTCCAGCACATTGACACAATATCTATTATTTAAACTCACTCAGGAGCAACTTTGTATCAGCTTACTTTTTCTTCTAAGGGGTTTATTTTGTTTCCTGGATTTTTGAGAATGAGAATGTACCAGCACTCATTTTCCCTGAAGTGGGGATTTATCACACCCTCAAAGCATCTCCTTCCAATCAATCCCACTTACCATCTCTCTGTGACCTGTGTTCTGAGCCAGTCTGAAGAAGAATTTCTTAACAGGATCCTTCACCGTAATGTGCCTAGCTCACAGAATCCTAGCTTGCAAAGCATGTACTTTAGATTGTAACGGAAAACAGGCAAATTTACCCTGCCTCTGGCATGACTCCAAACATCTGAAATATTAGAACGTGGCACTTTTATGCTGAAACATTACACAGTCCCCGGAGTGCGGAGTGCAGAACTGCTGTGTTCCCACTACTGATATGTTAGGGATTGAGGGGCAGAGAGATAGCAATTCCACAATAAAGTATCTGTATCTGGGTGGGGAGGAAGGGGACACAGGGGGACAAACAGGCACCTAAAGGATGTCATTCAAATTAGGCATCTTCCATCCTGAAAATGATAAAAGAGGACATTGCAAGGACTTTTAAAATCCCTCCTACAGCTCCCAGAGCACCACTCATCACAAAGATTTTACGAATCACCTTTTTCTGGTCTCTGGAGTAAATCCCTTTTGTCTAAAGTTTGGGACCTTAGGATCAGAAGAAGAAGGAGAGATCTTGATCCTGACACAGAAATCAGAATTAAATGACTTAAGAGAAGTTTCCCTTCCCTTTTTTGAGTCTGATTTCTAGAGCAGCCTTTTCCCAGAAGGTAATGCAATATCTATGAGTTTGGAATAAATATTTACAGGATCATGAAAAGATGAATTCCTTGCAACTCACTGCCACCACTCAAATATAAAGAAATGAATACAAAAATGCATGCCCCTTAGCCTCCAGGGAAGACGGAGAAGGGGAATGGAAGAGATCATCCCTGGGGCATGCAAACAATACCGACCCCTCACCATTTCCCTCATCCCTTCCAACATTCAGGCAACACACATTTACTCAGCACTAACTGTGTCCCAAAGACTGGCCCAGTACTGGGACACTAAGTGCCCTTGAACTTCTCCTGGGGGCAGCCCTCTCTTTCCCCTTCCCTTACTCTCTTTCCTGACATTTAAAACGCTGCAGAGAAAGACGCAGATTCATGAAGAGAAAGACGCAGATTCATGAAAAGAAAGGAACTCAGAGCAGACATTAATTTTTCCAACAGACACAAACCAAACCTGAGGTAGATGCCAGGGAGGAGGCCTCCCCAGAAAGGTATGGCAGAACCTGGTTTTGCCACTGTCTGGGCCGGTCACTTGGATGTCACTTGGACGCTCTGGACCTCAATTTTCCCCACCTATAAAATGAGGGTTGGAATAAATTATACCTAAAACCCCTTTCAACCTTAAGCTTCTATACCTTTCCGAGATTCTAAGGAGACTTTCGTGTCTAGCACTGCATATCCTAAGGAAGCCACACGTGGTGTGGTCATTCCACACACACATATGTCTCAGCCTCTCGTCCCTGATTGTGTATTTAAAGTTCTCGGGTGATGCCCGGCATGCCGGTGCCCAGATATAGCAAGACTGCTTTCCTTTTGGGTAGGATTTGTTCGTGCACTCCTTTTGCACGGAGTACTGCAGTGTAGTCCGCTGCCTTTACAAAGCGCAGGCCACTGGAGGAAATCGCATCCACAGATGTAAGCTCTCCTCTCCGTTGCAGGGAGGGTAAGCTGCTGCAGATGACACCATCAGCCCCCTCCTGTAAGAGCCTGAAGTGTCCAAGGGGCAAGTTATGTTTTTCTGGCAAGATGTCAATGCCATCTTCTTAGGGCTAGGCACCCCAGAGCTCCCCTTTCCAGGTCCCCAGCTGCAGAGTTGCCCCTGCCCGGAAGGCAGACCGTGCACCCCTGCAGCTCTGCGGTCATTCGGGGTGCGGGTGCGGAGCGGGCACTGAGACCCCCTTCGCTGCTCTCCCAAACCTACGCAGGAGAGCGCTGCCCTCTAGCGACCAAAATGGGAGATGCAGCGCGCCCCGAGCCTCGGGGAGCCCTGAGGCTGCTGGTACCTGCGAAGGCTGAGGTTGTGGCCCATCCTTGCAGAGGGCGCAAGCGGCTGGGAAAGACCTGAGGCCCTTTCTGTGTATGGGCTCTGGAACCGTTTGTGGTTTCCCTCTAGGGCCAGAACGGATAAAGAGACACATGGATGGATAAATAAACAAGATGTATGATGGGTAGGTGATAAACAAACCGAAAGGTTGATGAATGACGGATGACAGATGATTAGATACACCTTTGCCAGGACTTTCTATATGTCAGACACAGGCTAAAGGCTTTCGTCCATTATTTCATTTGCGTCTCTCCGGAATCTTAGGAATGGCGCATTACCTCTTGCTCCTATTTACCAAATGAGAAAACTGAGGCCTTACACAAGGTAAATAACTTGCCCCTTGGCAATCTTCCGCAGAGCTAGAAAGTGGCTGAGTGGGTCTCAATAGACAGCCCCAGGCCCCACCGTTGGCTCTCGGCCCCCTCCCTGCAGAGCGGATGTGCGCCCCCAAGCCCCAGACGGCTGGGTGTACCGCGTCCTTCGTCTCTCTCTCGCCCCTACAGTCCTGGCACGCTGACATCACACCCGCCCTGCAGCCCCTCTCACTCATCAAACATTCCCAGGACACCCTAGGCAGCGCGCTTGGGGCAGCGTGTCCCCGACTTGGAAGCCTGCCTTGGAAGCTGGGTAAAGAGGAGTCCGCTCCCGCGGCGGCTGAACGGCTTGCGGTCCCCAGAGGAACGCTGTACCCGTCCACGTTTGGCAAGGGGTCTCACTAACGTGCAAGGGGAAAATTCAGTCCCTAGATTTTAAGATTCCCAGTAAGTTTCATTATTTCCTTTGACAGTTAACTGAGCGCCTACATGGGCCCGGCGCTGTTGGACGCTGCAGCAGGGAACTGGGAGTCCAATGAGGGGAACAGACTGGTGGATAAATGACATTCGGGACGGCCTTGTTTGGCACCCACCGCGACCACCCACCGCCCCAGGAGGAGGCTGAGAAAGGGCAGGTTCACTAGCCCAAAGGGTCTCCAGCACATTCCAAAAATCTAAGACCGTCCACCTGCCCCTCTTAACGCCTCCACCTGGGCTCTGTCCCTGGAGCCCGCACCCCCACGAAGTGCAATTTCACTGACCTCACTCGGGGAGTACTTGATGTCATCCCACTCTCTCCCCACATGTCCTAACTGCCTCAGTGTGTCACGCAGCCGCGAGCTGAGCCACCCCACGCCCCCCACGCCCCCCACCCCCGGGACGCTTGCAGGGGCCCGGACGGACCCCTCCCACGAGGACGTCGGCGCGGGGCTGGCGTAGGGCCTGCGTCAGCTGCAGCCCGCCGGCGATTGGGGCACGCTCGCCTCCTTGGCTTGGGGGTTAATTATAAAGTGGCTCCAGCCGCCACCAGCCCCGGGACAGCGAGGCCAGGCGAGGCAGGCGCTCTGAGCCCCGCAGACGCAGAGGACCGCGACGGTGAGGCCCGCGTCTGCCCGCGTACCCGGACGCTTCGCCCCGACGCCCGCCGGGCTCACACCTGCCTTCTTCTCTCCCTTCCAGAGCAGTGTTTCGGACCGGATGTCTCCTACCAGCCTGCGCCATCGGATCGCAGTCAACGTGAGTGAACTTGTCCAAATTGCGCCTTTGCTGCGTGCGTTTGGGGCCGTCCGCCTGCTCGGGTTTTTTTTTCCCCCGGTGTTTCATTCATTGCATGGGGTGCCCCAACTTTCTTCTGGTCCCTGTTTGTGAGCAGGGTGAAAGCCCCCCACACCCCAAGGCTCCCGTTCTCTCACATTTGGGTCTTCGCATTCGGGTATTCTCTCCAGAATCCTCCTGAGGCAGTAGAAGTCCGGAAAGAGAGCCGAGCGCCTGGGCATCCCCGGGTTCGGGGTGGCCGTGTTAACCTGGGAACCGCGAGGCGATCTGCCCCTGGGCTTCCAGGAGCGGTGTCGGCCGGCCGGGCGGGGGCCCAGAAAGGCACATCCTTGCGACCTCTTGCTCGACAATCCCCAGGTGGGACTGTCCCGGCGAGGGGTCCCTCGGAGGGACCCGCTTTGCGCCCTGCACGCTCGGAGTTCGCGTCCCTTTCTCCCTGCAGCCCATGGCGCGGTTCCTGAGACTCTGCACTTGGCTGCTGGCGCTCGGCCCGGGGCTCCTGGCGACCGTGAGGGCGGAATGCAGCCAGGACTGCGCGACGTGCAGCTACCGCCTGGCGCGCCCGACCGACATCAACCCCCTGGTGAGTGTAGCCGCGGTGGGTGGGCTGGTAGCGGAGTCAGTGCGCGCTCAGCCAGGCCTGAGGCCGCAAGGCGCATCGCCGGCACGCCATCGGTCCCGCCGCCGCGGCGCCGATCTCTGGTGACGCAGGTGTCCGACTGTTCCCCGAACGCTGACAAAAGTCCCGCTCTAGCTCTCAGCTTCGGGACCCGCGACCATCTAGGGACCCGGGAGGGCGGCAGTGTTGCCACACAAACCAAGTTCGTTTTAACCCTGGGGATGCAGGAGCCCCGAGATGCGCTCTCTTCCGCGTCTCGGAGAGCACTAGGTTGTCGCCCCACCTGTCCCAAGGAAGATGCTCAGTCACCTCAGGTCCTAACATGTCCCACTAAGGACCCCTTCCACACAATCCATCCTCCCATCCTTCCTGCAAATAATGTCATTTTTTATTAGTGACATTTCGTTGTCTTTCTTTGGATTCCATTTCTCCGGTCCTTTCATCCTCAAATCCCTCAAGCCCTTCCCCTCCTCACCCGTGGATAGGAGAGAGGAAAGGGTTGGGACCGGGAGGAAGGGAGAGGAAGGGGGGGTGCACAGTAGACCCGAGAGAAAGAGATCAGCACGTCTTACAGGCAAGTGACTCTGGAATTCAACTTCTGTCTTATCTTGGGTGTACTTTTGTGATAGCTGCTAAGACAGCAGTTTAATTTGGCTATGAAATAGGCACAGGAGAGGTGGCCAGGGTCCAAAGAGGTGACAACAATGCAAAGATAAACTACATGACCGGAGCTGGGGGGGGGGGGAGAAGCTGAAAACAAAAAGAATACTCATTCTGGTCAGAGTCCCCGTGCTCTTAAATCGCCCCTGGTGCTCTACTGAATCGGAATCTCTGAATTTGGGACCCCAGGAAGCTTCAGTTTAACTCGCTCCTCCAGTGATTCCTTTGCGCTGTCTTCTCAATTTGTGGAAATTGTGTGATGACTTAAAAGGGTCAGTAGAGAATAATGTATTAATCCAAGGAGTTAAGTTACTCATTGGAGCCTTTGAAGAAATTTGGTGATGTAGATGCATAAAACGAGGATGAAAATTAAGGAAAGATTTCCACAAAACCCAAGGCATACATTTCAGGTTAAATGTTTGCATGTTTCGCTTGAGTTACCTGATCTACTTCATTCCATTTGTGCAGGAACTAACATGGCCTTAAAGAGAAGACACAGAGTAGGGCTTTGTATTTAAACCATGATGAAATGTGGCCTCTTAAATAGGGGTAACACTCCCCTTTATCTGTCTTTTGTCTTTCTGATTTGTTTAACCAATTGGTTTTTTTATTGGGGCTTACATGTAGGGTTGTTCTTTTCTCTGTGACAAAAGGCTTTGTTAACGACTATGTTCTTGGTATTATAGCAGTTCTAGAATTTCAGCTCAGATGCAGAAGACAGGAGAAATGAGGCTGCCTAACTAAAACTATGTAGAATCAACATAACAAATATTGAGGCTCTACCACCTGAAAGACACTTGTGCTTGGTTCTCTGGTGGATGCAAAGCTAAGCAGGCACGCCATGATTGATGTCCAAATTGAATTTACTGTCTGATATGATCTTGACCATAGAACACAGAGTGTGATAAATACTACCAAAAAAATGCATAGACCTATATAGAGGCTTATAAGTTAACATGACTTCTTTAGTATGAGTGTTTTATTCTGCTTATTTGTCATTATTTCTTTTTGAAGGAATCCCAACATTAAAAAGCTTTTTGGTAATAGTATACAAAATATTCAATGGTAATTTTTGGCAATGAGATAATTTACATTTCATTTTAAAATGGAAATGTTATGGACACCTGAACATCTTACGTTTTTAATGATGTTTTTATTTCTTAGATATCAAGAATAACATGGGATCATTTTAACTGGATCATCTTTAGATTTTTATATATGCATATATTTAATTTTCTTAGACACAAAGCTTACATAATTATTAAGAGCTGGTGAAATGCTCACAATGCAAGAAATGTGAAAATAATATGTGTGTATTTTATATAAATTAGTATACCAATATATATATTTTTAAAGATTTTATTTACTTACCTGACAGGGAGAGACACAGCGAGAGAGGGAACACAAGCGGGGGGAGTGGGAGAGGGAGAAGCAGGCTTCCTGCTGAGCAGGGAGCCCGATGTGGGGCTCGATCCCAATCATGACCTGAGCCGAAGGCAGACGCTTAACGAATGAGCCACCAGGAGCCCCTATACCAATATATTTTTAAATACAAAGAAAGGACCTGGTTTATCTAAATCAAGGGTCTGTAACCTGCATTCTATAAGTATACTTCAAGCAGCTATTGAAAGCCTGAAGTGCCCAGAAATATTATATAGACTTTATAAATGCTCATGCAATATTAGTTCTCTTTTTTCATACCCAAGTGATCTGTCAAACAGAAGAGAATCTTAACAAGATTATTAGAACACATAGCCTAAATCTTACAATGATTAGAATTTAATTATTATATAATAAAAAGAAGGAATTATATACAGATCATTTCTCATTCCCATTTTGTCAAGGATTATGATTTCCATTGGGGGAAAATAAAAACTTTTTTGTACACCAGTAACTAAATGTTAAGAAACATGAATAATGTGTGAACATTTGCATATGATAATTTCATATCAGAGCTCATCATTACAAACATTTGGTTCAAGGTGATTAAATCTGTTTTAATTTGTTTAAGTCTGTTTTCAATCAAGCAGGGGGAGCAAATCATCTCTACATTCAGCAAATCAGTATGTCATAATCCAAATAATTCATAGGACTTAAATTGAGTTTTAGAATGTCTTTCTTTTCCAATTTGTTTTGAAATTGTTTTTCTTTAAAGAATGAAAGTATTTGCAGGAATACTAGATGCCATTCCAGATAGAATAGTAACAAGAAAAGTAAACAAACCTTATATTATTAATATTGATTTTACCTGTAAGACAAGAAGATAAAAGGAATCGGGATGATGTCCCTAATTAGGTAAAGAGAAATATCTCCCTCTTGGTTAGAAAAAGCTCAAACAAAATGCGATCAACGGTGGAAAATTATCCAGTGAAATTAGATAGTGCCGGCAGCCAATCTAGGTTAAAATTGGGTGGAAGAGGTCTTTTACAATATTGAAATGGCACGGCAGATACAATCTGTTAAAATTCTAAAGAAAAATTCTAATTTGATTCAATTAATTACCCACAAAGATTCCATTTCCCTTTGATTTGCCTGTTCGGTATATTGAAAAGTTGTAGTAAGAAAATGACAATTACTTTATTGTATGAGAGTTTCCATACCAAAGCACACATGCTGTGGTTCACAAAAACGTGTTTACCTAATGAAGTCAGAAAAGCCTCTTGGTATCACTAAATGGAATTCTTTTCCCAGGCTTGCACACTGGAATGTGAAGGGAAGCTGCCCTCTCTCAAAACCTGGGAAACCTGCAAGGAGCTCCTGCAGCTGTCTCAGCTGGAGCTTCCCCAAGATAGCTCCACTGCCCTCACAGAGAGCAGCAAGGCTGAGGAGAGCCACGTGCTGGCCAAAAAGTATGGGGGCTTCATGAAAAGGTATGGAGGCTTCATGAAGAAAATGGATGAGTTTTATCCTCAGGAGCTAGAAGAAGAGGCCAATGGAGGGGAAGTCCTGGCCAAGAGATATGGGGGCTTCATGAAGAAGGACGCAGAGGGGGAGGACGTCCTGGCCAACTCCTCAGACCTGCTCAAAGAGCTGCTGGCAACTGGGGAGAACCCAGAAAGTGGCCCCCACCCAGAGGTTGGTGAGGATGAAGAAGTGAGCAAGAGATACGGGGGCTTCATGAGAGCCTTAAAGAGAAGCCCCCAGCTGGAAGAAGAAGCCAAAGAGCTACAGAAGAGGTATGGGGGCTTCATGAGAAGAGTTGGTCGCCCCGAGTGGTGGATGGACTACCAGAAAAGGTACGGGGGCTTCCTCAAGCGCTTTGCCGACTCTCTGCCCTCCGACGAAGAAGGCGAAAGCTACTCCAAAGAAGTTCCTGAGATGGAGAAAAGATATGGAGGATTTATGAGATTTTAACCCCCTTGGCAGCCAGTGAACCCCAGGCCCCAGCAAGCCTTCCTCTGCCCCCTATTATCGCACATTGCTTGCATTGTAGAGTTGCCTTTATTGTCTGGATAACTAACTATACAACCTGACAGTGCTCACTTCAGGTTCTATGTTCTCTTGACCATGTTTATGCTCAGTATCGGTCTATTGCAGCTGTGTTGTTCTCATGCTACAGTGATGTTGTTCCCTTGTCCTTTATTTTTGACAAAACACCAATAAATGCTTACTTGTAAATAGATACAATAAACCCCTTACCCCAGCTGCATGACATTCGTGTAAGTTTCTTCTTCTCTGAGGCCCTCACTCGCCTTCCAGTTCCCACTGTAAATCCTAAAGTTAAAAACACTGAAGCCATCTGCTTTGGGCAGCATCATCACTGGCCTCCTTCTCTTCCAATAGCCGAGGCTGCGAAACCATTTCTCATGTAATTCCTTGTATATAAAATCCTACGTGAGTGAACACGTTGAGCAAAGTACAGTGCGTTTCCACTCTCATTTCTGGAAATCAGATACAGCAAGAAAAACCAAAGCCTGATAGAGAAACTAGCTATGCCCCCCTATAGAAGGAAATCTCACATTCAGAGGTGCATGTCTGTTTTCTTCAGCAAAGTATTTTAGAAGTGAATAAGAAATTAAAGATAATTTAGCCCTGTTTCACAAATGCAGGTGAAGCCCAGAGAGGTTAAATTGCTGAACCAAGGTTGCCCAGCATTTGAAGGTTTGAAGGATAGAAATAGAATGAAGAGCCCAAACTTCGTCTTGTTCCCGAGCAATGTCCTTACACTCCTGCTGCCAATCTCTCACTCAGGTCACTACAAGACTTGGAAGAACTTGGGACTGTATATTGTTCACTAGTGTGTATCCTTACACCACAACCAATGGTGAGTTCTCCAGTATCTGACAAATGGACATATGAGTGAATAAAGGAATGAATGAAGGAATTTGGTGACCAGATCACTGGAAATGGTATTATGGATGTTTTAGAAGGCAAATTATCACACAAAGAAGCTTATGGCACTTCTTATTAATTAAACCATTTGGGGCAACATTCGGGAACAATAACAAAAAAAGTAACCTGTCCTCCTTTTTTCTAATTGAAACCACCTGCAGCTAAACTCCCATCTACTAGGTCATTTCTCCAGGACCCTTCCCCCATTTTCTCTTTTGGTGTGCTTCCCCCAAAATTCTGCCCTGCAGTCCACCCATGTGCAAGCCTGTGTGCTCCATTCTGATGAGGCAGCTCCACTGTCCTGGGCAGTCTGTCCCTCTGAGTCCAGCCCTGCTGGGGTCCCCGGGACATCAAACATGGCCATGCGCTATTAGAAGACTCTTCTCCTGATCAGTGCAAGAGGTCAACACCATTCAGAGCCATACCACTGCTTATCTTCCTGATCCCTGGCAAACTAACTTTTTCTTCCAGCTGAGAGCCCTCTCCTTCTGAACTAGAAATGGAAGTAACGTAACTGTTTGAAGCAGATCAGGAAAAAGGTGATAAACAGCAGCTGGGCCTAGGAAACCAGTGTCGTGAGCAAGAGGGATGGTAAGGCTGGAGCACTTTGGAGGTATTAGATCTCCAGTCAGTCTTAGCCAATTGTTTCCCTGAGAAATGCCAGCACCATATTGCCAGACTTCTCCAAAGAAACCTGAAACCCAGGTTTTCGTGGTAATAGCCCAAGTTTTTAATTTGGGTCATTGATTCCGTTTAAAACAGTGTGGACCAAACCAAACCCATCTGCAGGTCAGATTGGAGAGACACGGGACTAGTCTTATGAGAAAAAAAGTCACTTAATTCTCTCCCTAGAGCAAAGGATTCCCAAACCTTGGAAACAGGAATCCAGCCTACGTCCTAGAGATGGCAAGAGTAAAATGCCCTTGTCCCTCCATGATAAGATGGTAACATAGTTATTATAATTAACATATATTATATACACACACACAAATACCTCATACAATAGGGTTTGAGAAAATCACAATTTTCACAATCAAATGAATACAATATTTTTCAAATCAAGCACAACTCTTTATGGAGGAGCCCCTTCTTTTCTAATTTGGAGTAGCTGCGTAGACCAGACTAAAACACTCAGAGTGGTTAACAGACCTGTCACTTCTTTTGCCACCTGTCACCTCTGCTAAGGGTCCAGCAATTCCTGGGGCAGGACAGTGTCACTCACTCTTGTATTTCCTCCCCCTCTTCACACCTGGTGGAAAATGAAGAATGTAGAGGATGTGCCATAAATGTTTAGGAAGGGAGAGAACAGAGAAGAGGGACAGGGAAACAGGAAAAGAAGAAAGAAAGAGGAAAAGATGGTCAGCCTCGAGGGTGCCTTCTCTCTGGCTGCCCATGAGGCTACCTGCTCCTGCGTGGAAGGTCAAATGCAGTCGAGCGAGCCTCACAGTTGTCCAGGAAATGTGACCCGAGGGGTGCTCTACAGGTCTTCCTGGGCCCCCAAATATCTCTCTCGTCTGGCCTGCAGTCTGAAATCCATCTTCAGAATTTTGCGCCTTTAACCTTTAAAGGTTTTGATTTTTAAGAATGTCCTAATCAGGGGCGCCTGGGTGGTTCAGCCGGTTAAGCATCTGCCTTTGACTCAGGTCATGATCCCAGGCTCCTAGGATGGAGCCTCTCATCAGGCTCCCTGCTCAGCGGGAAGCCTGCTTCTCCCTCTCCCTCTGCCTGCTTGTGTTCTCTCTCGCGCGCGCGCGCTGTCAAATAAATAAAAATCTTTTTTAAAAAAGAAATGTCTTAATTGGATTCCCAGGAGCCTTTGCCTGAATCATCAGGGATGCCCTTTTAAACGCAGAGAACTGTGGATGGTTAACTGAGAACTCAGATAACTGTGATAACTGTGACTGTGGACTTCAGTGTGCACTCAGCTCAGGTGTTCAGGTATCCAGAAACGCGGGAGGGACTAGGGTTAGAACTAGCCTAGGACGAGGACTTACAGTTAGCTGGGCTGGTTAGGAGCTGCGGAGTTGAGGGCCTGGAGAAAGCTCTGCCTCAAGCCTGGTCCTGGTCTGGGTTCCTTCTGAGAGTTGACAGCTCTGCGAACTCTGTGTGTAAAACTCCGACCAGGGTGCCTGGGTGGAAATCCCAGCTAGTTGTGTGATCTGAAGCTGTTTCCTCATTAGCTGGTTGTGATAACTCCCAGTTCTTACACAGAGATATTGGGCTCTTCCCTACCCCCACCCTGCCTCATCCTTGGCCTCTCAGGAATAAGGTGCTCTGTCGCTCCTGGGCCACTCAGGGACCAGGTGCTCTGTCAGCCAGGCCTCTCAGGGATGAAGAACTATCTGTGAGCTTTGGTCTGGTGAGAGCTGAGAAAACCCAACAAGAGTGCTTTCTCTTCTGAGGCTTGTGTCTCATGGAGCAGGAAGGAATGCAGTGCCCCTTAATACTCATCTTCATTTTCTCAATATTCTACTACAAACGTGGAAAACCTGTGGAACGAGAAAGTTATCCAAAATCAAAGCCATGAAGAATCTGAGCCTTGAGCTACAGAGGTTTCTTTTTAGAAGATGAAGGAGGAGCATACGGCTTTGAATGCTTTGAAACTGTGACGACTGGGAATATTTAGGGGCTCTTTTCTGGAAGTATACCAAAGCACCCCATGTGAATCGTTTCATTCATTCAACAAATGATAGAGCCGGCTACATGAAAATTGGTGGAAAAGCATTTCAGACTGAGAGAACAGTGAGTGCAATGCCCGCAAATAGGAACACGTACATAACTAGAGGAACAAGATTTATGAGGCCTTCAGGGCTCTGGGTTTTAGTCTAGATGTGAAAGAAAACAATTCATGTTTGAGAGCAGGTAAGTGGCAAGATAAACTGATATGTTTTTCTGCCAAATAGAACAACTTTCCTTACTCCCCATTCTCCTGAGGGAAGAATGTATCAATTACATCAGTTATATCTGCCATCCATATCTGTCATCATTTGGCACCCTTCAAAGCATCCTGGTTTATCTTGGGAGGGGGCAGTTATATAAACTTTCATGTTTTATGGTAAAAATACAATGAAGAGATTTTGTTAATCACTCTCTATACCAAAAACCTGCATTTGCAAAGTTCACTCATTGCTTAGAGAGTGGAAAGCAAAAAAAAAACCAAAGCATACAATTATATTAGTGACCAGGAATGCCTGTCTCTGCAGAGAAGGGAGTACACCAATCACGCAGCGGAGGGACCTGGCAATAACGTAAGCGTACCCATCCATGTCACACGCTTATGCTTTTTCTCTTAGGTCTTTTTTTTAATCAGGTATAACATATCTACAGAGAAGTCCACATTATCACAAGAGCATATCTCCCTGAATTGCTAGAAAGGAAACCTACCGGTCAAAGAATTGGCCCGTAGGGCAGGGGCTTTAGGTGAATTGGGAGTGGGCAGAGCTTACACTGTGAGCTATCTCTTCCCTTTTTATTGCTAAAGTTATTGACTGAGTAAATATTTATGGAGCATATACTGCACTATTTTAGGTCCAGGGACGGTAGAAAACAAAAGTCCAGCCTATTCTCTGCTTTCTCAAACTTACCTCCTACTGGACAGAGTGAAACACTAACCAACAAACAGAAGGTAATTTCAGCTAGTTTTAAGTGCTCTACTTGTTCTTCCAAAGAAAATCCAAACAAAGGCAGAACTATACAGTGTTACAGTGAGCTTCCTCTTTCATCTCCCCTACCTTCCACAGAAGTAACTATTAAAAGTTCGGGGTTTATCCTAAATATATATATTTTTTCATTAATGAATACACACACACTCACACACACACATGCCTGCAGAGACATACACAGTTTTATTTTCATTGTCAACATGAATAAAATAATTCTGTACATATTATTCTGCCACCTTTTTTCCCCACCTACTATATCTTGGCAATATTTCTACATCAACATGTAAGTCTGCCTGATACTCTTCAACTGATGCATGGTTATTGTGTAACATGTGTGCTTTGCTTTTTAAAAACAACTCCACTGGTAATTTTTCATATTACCAACAGTGCTGCAATAAACATCCTCATAAATATATATGTACTACATTACATGCGCTATCCTGTATAAAAAGGTGTGTGTGTGTGTGTGTGTGTGTGTGTGTGTGTAGCAGTAGCAGTAGTAGTTGTCAAGCAAAGTACCACACAATCCCAGGGGAAGACTCTAAACACTTCTGCCCATTGTATCTTGGTATCAGAATCACCAAGGAAAACATAGTACACTCAAGCATTGGATGGACCCATGTTTCACTCACATAGACAAGAGACAGGGCG